TGGCCAGCGCACAATTCCGCACACGCGCGGGCCTCGCTGCCGCGCATCGGCGAAGTGCGATGTTGACCTGCGCAGCAAGACGTTGCATTATATGTTCGACAAGGATAACATAAGGAAGCATACGAGGGGGACGCCCATACGTATTCCTGCGATGCGGGGGGACGCCCCTGCATCATCTGGATGTACAAAAGTGACGCTGCACACGCAAAAAAAAAGACTTGAAGTCTGCTTGTGAAGTGGCAACAGCCACAAGCCACTGGCCGAACGCCTGCCACCACTGACGCACTACAAGAACCCCTCACTAATCCGTTTTGCCGTCGCGTTCGGCTCCTCCTGGCGCTCGGGACCGCTCGCAACGCTAGACGTCGAAGCCGCGGCGGCGTCGCTCATCTTGGACAGGTTGCCGGCGATTGGGGCCCTCTCAGACCGCTTCGAATGGCAGGCTACAATGAGCAACATGCAAGATGAAACCGCAGGATCCAATACTGGACATTCTTCACTATTCCGTAATCCCCCTGTTTTGCATCAAGTCCCTGCTGCATTCCTTTAGGTACCTTCTTCCCCCGTAGGACCCCTCCCTCCGTCATGTTTCCTTATTTCTTCTCTTCTGTCTCATCCTTCCTCCGTATTTCCCGTCCTCCTTGCGTCGCCCTTCCTTCTTCCCTCCTTGCTGGCCCTTCTCCTCACTTTCTTTCCCCATCCTTCCATTCTTTCCTCATTGATACGTTCCCCAACCCCTGTTCAACAAAGATGCCCGTCTCCGCCGTCGGGAACGAGCCGATCTCCCGGGCGATCTGGGTCGCCATGGCCTCGAACCCTCCAGGCGGCAAACCTGGAGCTACACCATGCCAGCTCGCCCACTTCTGCCGTTCCTCGCTGGGCTGCAGTTCGCTCAGAGTTCGCTCAGAGTCTGATCAGACAAGTAACCAGCAGAATAAAGAGAGAGATAGAGAGGGAAAGAGGAAACGAGACAACACCTAACACAAAACAAAGACAAGACATATGGAAAATCAGAAAACGAATGAGTTCATAAGCCCTAATCTCCTTCATCACACCAGCGAGGGCGCCACACTTCTTCCCGCTCTCGAATCCAACACTGACGCCGTCCTGGAAGCCCTGCGCGCAGGCGCTGTGCCACACCGCCGAATCGCTGGACGTCCGCGCTTTTGTCACCACTGCCGTTGTTGCACCCGTTGCTGAGCCCGTTGTTGCTGCATCTGCTGGGGCCTCTGCATCTGCGAAGGCTGCCGCCGCCGCTGCATCTGCTGATGCTGCCACCCCCACTGCAACTGAAGCTGAGGCTGCAGTTCGTTTTGGGCGCTTCCTTTCCGGAGGACTGGGAGTCTTTGGGACCCTTGGTAAGCCCTGGGCCTTTTGGTCAGCTGGCGGCGGCGCGGGCCGCGCTGGCAAAGGCACCGACGGCGGCGCCTCTGCTCGCCCGCCACGCTGCCCATTTGGCAGAACCCAAATCGACCTTGGCCGCGCCAGCGCTGAGGGCGGCGGCACTGGGAGCGATGGCGGAAACTGCGGAACTGCCCAGTGCAGCTCACCGCGCGGCTGCCCTAACTGTGGCTGCGGTGGCGGATGCTGCGGAAATGTTGGCTGCAACTCCACAATCAGCCGCGCTGATTTTAGTTCTGGTGGTGGCGGATGCAGCGGGGGCTTCGGCTGCCGCTGATCGCGCGGGCGCGCTTTCTCTGGTCGAGGTGCCTGTTGTCTCCGAGGCGATGGCTCGAGCGATGGTGCCCTGCGGCAAGGCGCTCTCTTTTCTCGCATCGGCTGTCGCTGCGCAGCCACTGACTGTGATTGGGGTGTCTGCTGCTGCGCAAGCGCTAGCTGCGGCTCCGGGTGCGGCTGTGGCGTCGCTGTCTGTGGCTGCGCCGCACGAGTGTTCCCATCCGCTGCAGACAACGTCCACGGGCCCCAGTTCTCATCATCATCGGCAGCAGCAGCATGCGGCGGGAGCGCTTGCACATCGGCAACGGCTGCCGAAGCCGACGCCGACGCGGCGCCCAGCGCCGCCTCATCACCCATGCGTCGCTACTCCCGTGGGGGCCGAAAAAAAGCGCCCCTCGCGGGCTGCGCGCTGGAGCCACAACGGTTTCGGCATCGGGGAGTTTCTGCAGGAGGACCTGCGTCGAGCATGGCATCGCGACACATCAACGCCCGTCGTGCAGAAGACAAAAAATCGCACGTGATTTTTTTTACTGGTCTCACAGAGTCCACCGCCGATCGCTGAGACCTCCGCATGCTGCGAGATCATTCTCGCGCCCCCCCCCCCCCCCCCCCAGGACCCATGGGAGAAGATCACCCCCCAACACAGGCCGCGAGGCGCGATTATCCTGGCGCAACCTTGGAGTGGACTGCGGGGACGACCCTGCCATCGGTATCTGAAGCCACAGCAGAAGTGGAACAATCCTGCAAGAAGCACATGGTTTTCCTGAGGCGCGGGAAAGGGGAGCCTCGTTGCCAAAGGAGCAGCCGCCGCGCGAAACGCGCCCTTCCTCGCGCCCCTGGAACAGCAGCACGCAAAGCACATTGCCAACCCAGACCGCAAGACACGATTTTCTTGGAGCAACTTTGGAGTAGACTGCGGAAAAGCCGCTGTCATCGAAACTTGATGTCACAGCGACACCCGAGCATCCCAACGAAATTCGCATGGACGGTCTTGACGGAGGAAGGCCTAGCTGCCAAAGGATCTTGCGCCGAACGAGCGTGACCATCCTCAAGCCCCTACCACGACCATTGGGTTTGGACTTTTTTTGATTTGGTCTCGATCTGTCCAAAGCCTCCAGCGCGCCTCCGAGGATGACACTTTCCAAGAGGCACCCCCGTTGGACCGGAGGGGGAAAAAAAACGCGCGTGGTGTTTTTAACTGGCTTCAAAACCTCCACCCTGCGCGGTGGGACGTCCGCACGCTGCGAGATCATCCTCGCATGGCTTTTGTCGGAGTCCTCCTACAATGTTGCGGCTACGAAGAGACAGAATCTGCATCACTAATCCCTCCTCCTTTTCTGAACCACCTCATGCCTCCTCCTTTCCCCATACTTGCGTCGCAGCAGCTCAACTCGCCGACGCTTGATTTCGCACACGCGTGGGCCTCGCCGCAATGCGCCGGCGACGTCCGATCTGCACCTGCGCATCAAAGACGTTGCACAATATCTTCGAAAAAAACCCACAAGCCAGCATATAAGGGGGACGCCCCTACGTATGCATACATATATATATATATACATGCGTAGATACATGCACACAAATGTGTACATAAATGTATATATATGTGTATGTGTATATATATATATATATGTATATACTTGCGTTGCGGGGGGACGCCCCTGTATCATCTGGATTACATCTGTACATGCCCGGCACACGCAAAAACTAATTGAGATCTGCTCTTGACTGGCCACAGAACGCGTTGCTGCTCGCTGATGGCGAACCATGCTGCCCGAGGATCACTGCTACCTCTGCCCCTCATCATCCGCTGTCGCTGGCGCCGAATGAACACACCACGAGCCAATTCTTGAGCCCAAAACCAAAAACACGCTGTCGAATGGCACGGCGCAGTGCCACCTCTGTGCACGCATGCCTGCCCATGTTATGTACGCGTGTGTGTACAATATAAGATTGCATGTGTTTCTGTATATATATACACATATGTATATGTATATATACGATCATTAGTACATACACACGTACCAAGTTGCTGAGGGTGGACCTGGTGCGAGGCCGCAGCAACCGGCGGCAATTTGGCGCGGCGACATGGGGGGCCAGTGCACAAGAAAAAACCACGCGCGAGATAGCGAGAGACAGATTGTTAATGCTGCACGGAACCCCCCCCACCCAAGGCCTTACCAGACATCCAAAGGGGTCGGCGGTGTGGCATAAGCCCATGAATCACTGTTGTGGGAGCCGGTGGAATGGCGTAAGCCTCTTGAGTATAGTTGTTGAGCTGTTTCAAGGCATTCACCAAGCATGCAGCGCTTGGCTACACCGTAGCTGTGTCATATCCAGAAGCAGCCCATGAGAAATGCCCACAACGAACCTGGCCAGGAAACCACTGCGGCACTGGCCTGTGCGGTCACATGCGAGGGGCGACAGCAACGCTTGGGGCGAAGTGAAAAGGATCCTGGGTGCGCCACACCAGGGCCCATCGGGGAAGTACTGACCCGGGTCAATCCAAACCCGGCCAGCCAGGCTTTGCAAGATCCTGCAAAATCCTGCAAGATCCTGCACGAAAACCCAGGTCAGTGCAGCCCTGGCTCTGCAGGATCCGGCGCCCTGGCTGACCTCCGTCTGCACTGACCTCCGTCTCTTGAGCCCCGGTCCCTGGCCGAGTGGGGTCCCCGGGCAGCCGGCCGAAGAATGGCACTGGCATGGACCTCCCGCAGCAGTGCGGAAGAGGGCGGCGGGGCACGTGAGAAGCGCGGCGGCGCGTCGGCGGTCAGCGGGGGAGCGAGGCCCAAGGGGCGCACCCCTCTCGGGAGAAGACTGCAGCGGCGGCGAGCGATGGGGGGAAGGCGAGACGGAGCAGGCCTTCTCAGAAGGCGGCGGGACTTCTCAGAAGCCCTGCGGCCTTCTGAGAAGCTGTCCGTGTCCTCGGGGAAGGCTTCGAAAACTTCTGAAGGCCAGGGGGCTTCCGAGCCCTCTGAGAAGGCCTGCCCCTTCTCACTTCCCCCCCTCGCTCGCCGCCGAAAGAATGCAGGGACGGCGTCCCGCAGCTCACCCTGACCCCCTCCACACCGAAACCCCTTCTTATGAAGGGGCCCCAGGACACACACAAATAAATACACACAAATAAAAATATTCACCATATTTTCCTATATTTTCTGGGTTTCTGTCTTCCCCCCAATTCCCATATTTTCCCATATTTTCTGGGGAGTCGACGATTAGTTGTGTCTGTGTGTTTCTTTCCCTCCTGATCTGAGGCTGCCCCTCCAATCTCTCGGCACAACCGAGGACAAGCAGGGGGGGCGGGATCGAGCGGTGCACGGGCCGGCTCCTGCTGGCGGTGGGCGAGGGACTTCTGGATGCTGGCGGTGCTGCGCTCCGTCTGGCGGGGGAGCAGGTCGAGCAGCAGGTGAGCAAGTGGACCGCGCGGCAGCAGGAGGAACGAGCACGTACGAGCAAGGGGGGCACAAGGGGCCACGGACCTCGAGCCACCTCACCGGGCCGTGAGCCCTCCCTGGGCCACGAGCCGCCAGCGGCTACGGGCCACCGAATCACATCTCGAGCCGACCCCACTAGACAAACGCGCTCCACTACTCGTAAAGCAACTACTCGCAAATGGCCGGGAACTGCCGAGAAGGATCTGCGATCCATGACATCAAGGCAGGCGTCTGTTTGGGGGACCTCTTGCGGCTAGGCACTGTGCGAGTGGTGGGACGCGCTCGGTGACCCACGCCCCCTGGACGATACCCCTGCAGAGAAGTTCGGACGATGTGATGATGAGCCTATCGGAGCTTAAACTTTTGGGCGCCTCGAGGGGCCGCAGGAGACCACGGGCCACGAACAATCCGATCGGTCTGTGGGCCTCGCCCTACATACGGGTCACGAATGGGTGGGCCACGTGCCACGCACTGAAGGAACTCCAGTACCTACCTACCACGAGGCCGCACGGGGTTCATGGGCAGCGGGGATTCGAGGCGGCTCTTTAGCCTCACTCCACACGCAAGGGTTAGGTCGGGCGTGTCCTCCCCCAGAAGGATTTTGGAAGAGAAATGAAAAAAACAAAACATACCACCAAAATGGTCAAGAATAATCGAAAAATCCCCGGCTGGGTCCCGGCCGGGTCCCGGGCGATCCCCAGGGGGGAGGCTATTTTTCGCCACCCCTCACGAGGATCGTGGCCTCCGAGGGGGTGGCTGCAATCGACTACCCCCCCTCCCACCCCAAGGGGCCCCCAAGAGCTCCCAAAGAGGCCCCAGGGGAGCCCAAGACGCCGCCAAGGAGCCCCAAGACGCTCCCAAGAAGCCCCCAAGAGACCCCCAAGACCCAAGACGGCCCCAAGAGGCCCCAAATAGCGCTCCAGGGCCGGCGGAATCAGCGAAGCGATAAATAATCGAAAAATCGTCCCCATCTTATTTTTTGACTATTTTTGAATCTTCCCCCTGTAGAGAGACAGGCCCGACTTAACGCAAGGGCCATGAGGGATCAGGGCGTCGCCGGCCACTGGCAGCTTCATCAAGGTCAGAGCAGCCTCACCCCACTCTGGGGCCGTAGGGCGGGGGACAGGCCTGGACGGTTTCCCCCGGGGCCGTAGGCGACCCGAGGAGGAGGAGGAGGAGGAGGAGGAGGAGGAGGAGGAGAAGAGGAGGAGGGGAACGAGGAGGAGGAGGAGGAGGAGGAGGAGGAGCGAGGAGGAGGAGGACGGGTCGCCTAAGCCCTTCGGACAAAGCCTCCAGACGGCGGGCACCAGAATCCAACCAGCACTCTGGGCGCAGGCAGCTCCGGGCACGCGCTCTTCCAAAGCGACCCCCCGCTCCCCTGAGAGGAGGGGGGCTCCCCCTCCGCCTAACCCACAAGCTGGGAGCCTACCCTCTCGCCTAGCCACACCACGATGGTGTTGGAATGCCTCGTCGGAACGTCTGGACACTTTTGCAACACCAGTTGGGGTACAGTCGACCCATATCATAAGGACGCACGATAAGGATGCAAGGCCCTTGGACGCCCATTTCGAAGCTTTTCGAGCGGGGCGCGGCCAACGCAAGTGGCCAAGGATAGGCCGAGGAGGGAAGGATGCAAGTGTGTCCGTGGGACCCTCTCAAGGTTTCTCGGAGAGGAGCCCACTGGGGCCGTCTCGGAGCCAGCGTGGCGTCAAGTACGGATGGTGCTGTCAGCTTCGCGAGTGAATACACTCCTGGGGTCCTCTTGGCAGGCCTGATCTGGATCGAATCACGAAATCGGCTCGGATCTGAAACGGATCGGATCGCCAGCAAATCGTCCCGAATCGAATCGAAATCGGATCGCCGCGTTCATTTCAGGCTAGCCCCGGTCGACGCCGGCGAACCGAAACGAATCGCATCGGGTCGGAATCGCAGCCCCGGCCGGCGAATCGAATCGCATCGAATCGGATCGTAGGCGGTCCTGCTTGGGCCCCTCTGGGGGCTCTCTTTGGTGTCCTCTTGAAAGCTGCTGGGGCCGTGTTGGCGCTGTCAGGGGGCCGTCTTGGGCCGTCTTCGGGCCAGCTTTGGTCCGTGTTCGGGCCGTCTTCAGGCCGTCGTGGGGCCGTCTTAGCGCTTGGGGGCCGTCTTGGGCGGAACGAAGACCAAGAAGGCGACCATGGCAAAATCATTGTTTCTTTTGGAAAATGACTCAATAATTTTGACATTGACCGCTTGGGAGTCTCTTGGAAGTCCGCCAAAGGCCGGTCTGAGGCCTCTTACCGGCCTCTGGGCCCGTCTTGGAGCCCTATTGGGGCATCTTGGAGCCATGTTGGTCCGATATTTTGTCTGGTTATGTCTCGTCTTGTCTCGTCCTGTCTTGTCTTGTCTCGTCATGCCTTGTCTCGTCTCGTCTTGCTTTGCTTTGCCTGGTCTAGTCAGGTCTCGTTTGGGCCGTCTTGGAGGCGAAAGTATGCCAGTCCCGTCGCGGCGCGTCGACCAGAGGGGCCCACCCGCCTTGTTACGTAGCGAAGTCCAGCACACAACATGTCGCAACACCTCGTCGCAACGCTTCCCCCTGGCAACCGCGGACTGGAGGACGAGGCACAGATGAAAATCCTTCTTGGGCGGAGCCTCGGGCTTGCAGGTTGGGAGAGACTCCTTGCGACTCCTTTGAGGCCCTTTTCTGGCCATGTTGGGGCTCTGTTCGGGCCATTTGTGAGCTCACTTGGGTCCCAGGCTCTAGACAAGCGCGTTCCACTCCTCGCAAGGGAATTTCTCGCGCATGGCCTGGATCCGCGGCGAGTGGCTTACGATACATCATATCGAGGCAAGCATGAGCTTCTCTGACGCTTGCGAGCAGGCACCTTGCGAGTAGGGGGACGCGCTCGGCGAGGCTCGCCGCCCCGTCAGCGTGCTGCGACCCAGGCCCGATCGCCCCACCTTGCCACGCACACACCGACGGCCCTGCGCACCTGGCCTCTCGGCAGCAGGGCGAGCGCTGAGACCACGGCAGCTCCACATCGGCCCCCGGGACGTGGTCGTGGCCGTGGTTGTGGCCGTCGTCGTCGTCGTCATCGTCGTCGTCGCCGTCGTTGTCGTCGACGTCGCCGCCGCCGCCGTCGTCGTCGTCGTCGTCGGCGGCACCATCCGTACGGCCTTCGCAATCGGTCCCCGGACACCCCCCCTGAGATCCAGATGCACCAAATTCCCAAGCTGCGTCCAGCCACGGCGAGAGAGGGGCCCCCCGAAGGCCAGCTAGCGTTGCCTCAACTCGCCCTCCTCCCTTCGAGAGACAGAGCGGAGCGGAGCAGAGCCGAGCGGCGGCCAAAACATCCGTTCATCAGGACGGCTCCATAGCGCGCGAAACGCACGGAGTGGCCCGAAATGCATCAGACATTGACTCAGTGAAACAGTAAAACATCATGCGGCTGGCACTCTTTCGAGAAACAGAGAACGACATACATAAACATAAACTTTGGGAGGTCCGCGCAGAGTTGTTGGATCGAGGCTGGATCCCCCTCCCTGGCGGGCTGGGGCTCCAGCGCCCATCCAAGAAATCCGCGCGGACCTCGCGTCCCGTGCTCTCGACTGTACGCATGAGCGACCCCAGGCGGGAGTGACCCCCGGCGCGCAACTTTTGGGGCCGCATGGAGGCCCCACCCGAGCGCGCAAGCCGCCGCCATCGCACCGTGTTAGGTCATCTGGGGACCCCAGTGTGCCCGCACCAAAAAGTCCCTCCGACGAAAGGTCACTCCTGCGCGTAACCGACACGACACGCTCCGATTCTTTCGATGCGTGGGTCCCGGGTGGTCTGGACGACTCACCTGGGACCTGCTTTTCGTCCAGAGCCGTTCCGTTGACGGTCCTGGAGCCCGCTGAGGGTCCCTGGGGCCGAAAATTGCCAAAAAACAGCCGCTCCGATCTTTTCAGAGCCTCAGATCTCTGGGCTGGCAAAAGACGAAGCCAGGACGAGAGGATAAAATCGGGTGAAGATACATCGAGAATATCTCAGATCTGGCGGCTCTGGAACGGACTTGTCCTCGTCCCAGCCCCGTCCGATGGTATCCTTTTCGGTGCGCTCTGCTAATCATGCTGCCGCGTCCAGCCCCGCGCGGGGGCGTCGTGGCCGCCCCGGGAGGGAGGAAGTGAGGGCAGGGAGGCGCACGGCCTGTGGGCAGCTCGCGAGATCCGCCACCGTGCCTGCACGATGCGGGCGTGCCATGAGACAACGATTCAGGGCCATCGAACCCGATCATCGACGAGCGCGCTCCACTGCTCGCAAAGTAGCTACTCGCAAATGGCCTGGATCCGCCGCGGGATTTACGATCCAGAGCATCGAAGCAATGGTGTGTATTTCGGTCGTTTGCGAGTAGGCACGCTGCCCGTTGTGGAACGCGCTTGGTGAGATTAAGAGGACGTTGGAGCCTGAGAAGGCCAGGGTCCGGATGAAGCGGAATTACGCTGGAATGGGCGGGATTAAGCAAGACTACTGTTTTTGTAGAGAAAACGCCGGGTCGAAGAGTGCTGGGGCACAAGGGGGCCTGTGCCGAGCAGGCCTGGGCCAGCAGCAGCCCGAGCCCCGGGGGCAAGCACCAGGGCCCCGCAGCAGGCGCGCACGGTGCCCCGCACGAGGCCTCCGCACAAAGACTCGCGCGAGCACAAGGCCTCCGCACAAAAGGGCCTCCGCACAAAGGGCCTCCGCACGAGGCCTCCGCACAAGACCCCGCACAAGGCCTCCGCGCAAATCCGCCGGCCCATTTGCGGGGCCGCCAGGCTCCGCGGACTCGGCCTGCCGCCTCCCTGCTCCAGTTCCAGTTTCAAGTCTCCCGTGTTGTGATCCTGCTGTCTTCTTCCTGCTGTGACATGTTGAAGTCCGCGCGAGGGAGGGGCCCACAAGGATCCAACTTGCCACGCCCCCCAGGGGTTCTCAGAATTTCTGGGGAGGCCTGGGACACGTAAAAATGTATCAGATTCGCGCCCCCGGGACCTGAACCCCTGCTAAATTACACGATGCTTGCGTCCCCAGGACCACAGTACCCTGCAATGTCCTCAAGATTCGCGTCCCCGAGACCACGATCTCTCGTAAATTACATCATGTTTGCATCCTCGAGGCTACGATCCCTTGTAAATTATGCCCTTGTTGCGTCCTCGAAGCAGCGACCATGTTTTAATTGAACAGTGTTCGCGTCCTCGAGGCCGCAAACCTCCATAATGTATGCAAAAGTTGCGTCACCGAGGCCACGATCCTCCGTAACTTACACAATACTCGCGTCCCCAAAACCACGGCCCCTCGCGCATTACATCAGAATCGCGTCCCCGAGGCCACGATCCCCTGTAAATTACGCGAGATCTGCGTCCTCGAAGCCATAATCCCTTCTAAGGTATGCCACAGGCCGCGGCATCTCGCAAATTACGCTGTCCCCCAGGCCACAATCCCCTGCAAAATTGCACAATTGTCGGGCCCCCGAGGCCACGATCCTTCACACATTAGCCGAGATTTGCGCCCTCGAAATCATAATCCCCCGTAGTTTACCAAATATTCGCGTCCTCGACGCCATAAACCTTGCAAATCATTCAGTAGTTACGTCCCCCAGGCCGCGATCCACTGTAAATTGCATCATATTCGCGTGCCCGAGGCCACGATCCCTTACAAATTACCCGGCACTTGCGTCCTCGAAACCATCATCTCCTGTAGTGTACCCAATAGTCGCGTCCTCGAGGCCATAAACCATCGCAAATTATTCAGTCGTTGCGTCACCGAGGCCACGATCCCTAGAAAATGACTCGTATTCGCGTCCCCGAGGCCACGATCTCTTCGCAAATTACACTACGTTCGCAGCCCCGAGGCCACGATCCCTGGCAATTGACTCCATGTTCGCGTCCCGAAGCCAAAATCCGTTGTAGATTAAACAATATCCGCGCCCCCGAGGCCAAGATCACTGGCAAATTACAAAATATTCGCGCACAAGTGGCCCCCCTAAGAGGCCCAAGACGAAACCAAGAATTTGCCCAAGAGGCCCTCAGGAAGCTCAAAGGGAGCACACAGGTCCCCTAGAGCCCCCAGGAGGCCGCAAGAGGTTCCCCATGAAGCCTTCTCGTCCTCGTCTGTACATTATCCCTCATATCCTCCTCTTCCTCCTCCTCCTCCTCCTCCTCCTCCTCCTCCTCCACCTCCTCCGCCTCCTTCTCCTCCTCCTCCTCCTCCTCCTCCTCCTCCTCCTCCTTCTCCTCCCCATGGCCCAAAATGCTCAATAAACTCTCCAAACGCAAGCGGCCCCCAAGACGGCCCAGGAGGGCTCCAAGAGGCCCACCAGGAGAGCCTGCGGAAGCCAATAAAAATAAATGTTTAAATCACGCCTGCTTGGATTTCCGACCGCCCAAAAAGACGAGTATCGCTCTATCCCAGCTCATCGTTTGCGATCACGAGTGTCATCAAGTTCGCAATGCGAACTGTCAGAATTCGAGAGATGGTTCACAATTTTGCGGTGCAAGCCGTAACGTACGATATTGGCCCTCGCGTGAAGTTCCGACATTGCTTCACGGCGGCACCCTTGCATCCCAACTTAGCGAATGCCCCATTCTGAGAGAGAGGACGCCGGCGGCAGTGGGCGAAGGCTTACGGATAGTGAACGGTATTGTGCCGGATTAAATCAGTTTTCGATCAGGGATAAACCAGCGCCGATTCAGAATGTGACCTCCCAGGAACTGCATCCTAGTACAATACCAGGTGCTGCTCTGCAGGGTTTCTGCATTCTCACACAAGGGACTCCCGAGGCCACGATCCCTCGGCCACGATCCCTCGGGGAAAGGGATGGATCCGCGTCCCGAGCTTCCAAGACGACCCATGCAAGCTGCCTCAAAGACGGGCCAAGATGGCCGCAAGGCGGCCAAATATGGCCTCGTGACGGCTCAAGATACATCCTGGAGGGCCCAGAAGGGCTCCAAGAGGACCTCCAACAGAACCCCAAAGCCAAAAGCATGGACTTCCCTGCAATATTTGAATGATTGTCTCATTCTCGCCTTTCCAGGCTTCCGTCAACTGCAGACGGCCCAAGAAGCCTCCACGATGGCCCCAAGACGGCCCAAGAGGCCCCCCCGAGGATCCAAAGATGGCCAAAGAGGACCCCGCAAGGGCCCAAGAGGCATCCAAGACGTCCCCAAGACGGATCAAGAGGGCCTCCCGTGGGTTCAAAGACAGCCAAAGAGGACCCTTCAACTGCCCAAGACGGCACCAAGACAGCCCCACGACGGCCCCCAGGCACCCGCCTTACGGCCAAGAGGGCCTCAAGAGGGCCCAAGAGAGCCCCAAGACGGCCTAAGAGGGCCCCAAAACAGCCTCGAGGGACCCCCAAGACTGCCTCACAGGAGCCCCAGACAGCCACAAGACGGCCCAAACGAGTTCCATGAGAGCTCCTCAGATCCGCCACTGCGCCTTCAGCACGAAGTGGCGTGCCCCAAAGATCAAGCAGCCCTGAGAGGTAAAAGGCTTCTATAGTTTTTAAACGTCCCAGACCCTCGGTTTCCCAGACGCTTCTGGACACTGCTGGGCGCTCCCTGGATGTTTTTGCGGGGGGCTCCAGGACGGCAACCCCGCCCAATGCCCCCGAACGGGCCAAGAGGGCCCCAAGAGGCCCCCAAAACGGTCCAAGCGGGCCCCAAGTCGCACCAAGATCCCTCCTGTCGCCCAAGAAGGCCCACAGACGGCGCAAGAGGCCCCCAAAACGCACCAAGAGGTCTCCAAGAGGCCCCCCAAGAGGGCCCCGAGATGAAATTCAAGCATTGTACTCGGGTTGTCTTAATGATCTTAATGTTCTCGTCTTGTTTGGCTTTCGATGCTCCAAGACAGCCCAAGAGGCCCCAGCGAGGCCCCACAGATCGCTCCAAGACGCCCTATGAGGGCCCAAGAGCGCCCCCACACGGCCCAAGATGCCCCCGGGGTCGGCCCAAGAGGCTCCCAACACAGCGAATTAGGGCCACAAGAGGGGCCCGAGAGAGGCCGCAGAGGGGGAACACGAACCGACAGTTCGAGCCCTTCGCCCCAAGATGGCCCCTGAGACCGCCAGCAGGCTCCCAAGATGCCCCCCGCAAGCTCCAGGAGGCCCGCAAGGTGCCCAAATCAGGCCCCAAGAGGCCCCCGAGAGACCCCCGAGAGGCCCCGAACACTCACCAAAACCGAATCCAAGAAACTTCCGAGAGGCCTCCCAAGAAATCCCCACAGGCATCCCAGAGGCCTCTGACCTTCAATCCAGGCACGGTGGCGGGATAGACCGAGGGTCACGAGATGGCGAGGACGAGATGTCACATATGACGGCCTTCCTCAATTTCCTCCTCCATCCTCCTCCTCCTCCTCCTCCTCCTCCTCCTCCTCCTCCTCCTCCTCCTCCTCCTCGTAATAATCATCATCATCATCATCATCATCATCATCATCATCATCATCATCATCATCATCATCATCATCATCAGCATCATCAGCATCATCAGCATCATCAGCATCATCAGCATCATCAGCATCATCATCATCATCATCATCATCATCAGCATCATCAGCATCATCAGCAGCAGCATCGTCATCATCATCATCAGCAGCAGCAGCATCAGCATCAGCATCAGCAGCAGCATCATCATCAGCATCATCATCATCATCATCATCATCATCATCATCATCATCATCATCATAACCATCATCATCATCATCATCACCACCACCATCATGATCATGGCTCACCCAAGCCTGGAAACACGAGGTGTCACACGTGACGGCCTCACGTACCCCCTCGAACAGTCGCCACTCAGAATGCTGGGCTGGCACGGTGGCGGGACTTGCCGCAAGCAGCTGGAGATCCCTCCGACACCCCCCGTACCGACCTCGCTCCCGGCTTCCCACTTGTAGCAGACCCCGGACGCTCTGCAGCCCACGCCGCAAGATCACTCGGAGTACAGCAGCAGCCCCGCGATAAGGATCACCACAATCGCGAGGAACTCGAGGAAGCCCATTCCGATCAGGGTGTAGGTGAACAAGTCCTCCTTCATGGACGGGTTGCGCGCCATGCCGACCACCAGCGCCGCGAAGAGCTGACCAATGCCCTGAGCGCAGCCACCCACGGCCACCATCGCGATCGCGCAGCCAAGCACAGAGACACCCGCGTGGCGCTTGGTGAGGGGCTCGCCGAGGCCGACTGCCGTGATGTTCGCGCCGGAGTTCTTCTGCTGGGGCACCGTGGTGAACGACCGGCAAGCAGCGGGAGCCACGACGCTGGGTGCTGCTGCTGCACGCTGCACCGCCTGGGGCAAGACGCGAGCCGCGCGGATCGTGCGGAACACGGTCAATGACATGTTCGGGGCAGAGGACTGCTCCTCAGAGTGCCGGCCTCGGGGGAGGCAACAGGCTGTGCGGGCTGCTGAGACGGCTTGAGCCAAAATGACTATGGCATGACATGCGGTAGCACATCCGCGGCCTCGCGGGCCGGGCCCCTGGGCCGCGAACCTGGCTCCAGGATGCACTGCACGGGACGTATTCGTGCGACCGCGTCGCGAGATTGCGCCCCAAAGTCCAGACCTGTAAGGCACGGATACGGATATGTTCGCCGCTCGTGACGCACCGCACGTTCAGTTTATTAGACCTTGCCTATCTTGCCTCGACTTCCCGCACACTGCCTGCGCTTGTCGCAGCACAAGTGTCGGCATTCACGCTGCATTGCCCGAAGTGCATGATCGTACTTTACGCTACGCTACCTCATCTTACCATCAGGTCGGGCATT